CGTCTGACGTCTCCACGGAGCTGGCCAATCGCGGCTCGGCGTCCGCGGCACGTGACCTAACAACTTGGGTCTTTACGTAAGCGGGCGGGGCGCAGCTCGGAGGATTCGGACCTGGAGGCGGGAGGCGGGAGCCGGAAGTCGAGCGTACTTCGAGGCCATGTTTGAGACTGGCACTTCCTCGGCGCGTCTGTGGCCGCCATGTTTGAAGCGGGTGGCGGCCGCGTCTCAAGGCGCCCCAGCCGGGCCACGGCGAAGCGCGTGCGTGGCGGCTGCCCTTCTGGGTCCCACCTGCGGCAGATCCTGGGGTGGCTCGCATCCAGTCCACGCTGCACTTCCAAGAAATCTTCCTCCAATGATATGTTATTTCTCTTTCTTTTTAAAAGAGGCGGCCTCGTCAGAAGCATTAAGGCCTCCGGTTAGACTGCAGCGGTTGGGAGTGAGCTGCCCCAGGGCCCCCCGCATCTTCTGTAGCGGAGGTGCGATGCACACGCGGGTCGAAGGCAGCAGTGCTCCCTGCTCTTTTCAGTGCATTAAAGACGCGAGTCCGTGAGGACCCTGCGGGCTCCTTTCCTCCTAAGAGACGCTTTCTAGGTGTGCAGTGAGTCCCTGGGGTCAGCTGGGCTGGATTTCCCTTTGGGCGGAGCGTGGACACTCACATGCTTGGCTGCACCTGGTCTCCAGCCCCGTCCTTCTCGCCAAACTTTCCCCCACCAGGTGCATGGAAGGGAAATGACAGGTGTGTGACCGGCAGGAAATCCATTCGAAGGGAAATTAATGTGACTGCTGCCAGGTCTTAAAAACCAGCGGGGTGCTCTGTCACACACCGAACCTGTCCGCCTACTGGTCGCTTCCATAGTTTGATTCAGGCGTCTTTCTGGAGTCCTTCAGAAGCTCACAAGCCAGGGAGGGGGTGACTGCCACAGCCAGTTTCCACCCTACTGTTGGCAGGTGGAGTCAGGGCACCATGTGATCTTGTGATGGGTGTTCTGGCCTTTCTGAGCCACCGAGGTTGACATCCCTAGGACTCTTGGTCCTTCTTCACAGGTATGCGGTGTTGGTCCCTCATTCCTGGCCAGGGATGGGAACAGTTTCCAGCAGCTCTGCTGTTGGTCCCCACCCCAGGGTTGCCCATGTACTTCATTCTCTCTGACCACATCCAATCAGCTGCTGGACCCTGTTAACTCTAGACTGCAGAGCCTCACTGCTGGCCCTCACTGCTGGCCCTCGCTGCTCCTCTGGCCCCCTGCTCACAGCAGCAGGGCAGGCAGGGCTCTATGGTGGGGACTTGCTTCACTTCTTCCAGGATCAAGAACAATAGTCTTAACATCTCTTCTGAGACCCAGTTTGGTGCCCAGCACATGGTAGACCCTGGACAGATGCCTCACTGAATGGAGGGCCCTTGAGCTGTCTGCCTGGCCTCCTCTGGCCACAGTGCCCTGCTGTGCACACTGCTGGCTGCTCAGCTCCCCAACAGCTGCCGTGGCTCTTCCATGTTTCTCTGCTCAACCCATTTTGCCTGGCTCATCAATTCTTCAGCTTAAATTTCGTGTTGTTAGGGCGGCATCACCAGATGCCCTCTTGCCCCCACATTAAATCTGTCAGCTAAGGGCCTGTGCCTCAGGACCTGGTGCTGGGTGGGGTGTCTTCTTCCCGTCTCCCATTGCTGCACCTTCATTCTTGCTGACTCACTCAGCATGTGCCTGGTGAGCTCCCACCGTGGGCCAGACAGACCCGCACTGGGGTACAGTGGCTGCAAATGCCAACAAGCTGACTTTTTAGAGCTTTGGTTCAGTGGGGGAGAAGGGTGTTGGTGAAATGTTCACATAAAGAACTGTGGGTTTTCAGTGTGATGGGAACACACACGATAGGCCTGCCGGGGTGGGGGACCAGGTAAGGGTTCTTGGTGACCAGGGTCACCTCCTCCCTCCTTCACCTTTTGGGTCTACTAGGAGGAAAGAGGTGGGGCCCTAGGCTGGCAAGCTGCCCCCTGTCGACAGTTGCTGAAGTACCCAGAGGAGCCTCCCCCCCCCGCCCCCTCTCAGTTGCTGGGTTGGGTTGCAGCAGATCCTGGAAGAGCACAAAGCCCCTCCACACTGAAGCCAGTCACTCCCTGTGTCTCCGAGTTTCTCACGTTTGTTTCATTTCTTTATTTCTGATTAGCTGCCCCCTGCCCTTCCAGGATGAGGGGCACCACGAGGGCATCGTCTTCATGGCCGCACAGGATGCTTGTGCAGTGCTCGTGTGGGGTGGCACTCCCACACGGACTGTAACCCCCGAAGGCACGGCCTGGCACAGGGCCTGCCCTTCTGGTGGACCCCCCGCTGACGTTTGTGGAATGGGCTGTGGGGGGATGATGCATTAGAGACCTGGGACTGCAGGTTCCAGGGAGCTGGGTACTCTCCTACACCACAGAGTCGCTGCTTAACCACCACGCGTCCACAGCTCCGTGTTTGCCTTCAACAAACACGTGAGGCTGATGAGAAGTTGAAGAGGATTTCCAACTGATTAGCAGTCAGGAGACCCATTAACCAAGGCCACCCGGCCAGAGCACATCTCATTACCGCAAGAGACGGTGGCCTCTGTGATAAGGAATGATCATTTCCTGCATCTGACCCTTTATGTCTTAAAGAACCACGTTAAAGAAAAGCAGAGGAGGAAACAAGGGGGAAAAATAAAACAACCTGCTTTAAAATGTCCTCTGATAAAGTTTCTGGTGGCCACCTTCCCCTTCCTCCTGGCTCCGCTGCGCAGTAATAGCCAGGAGTAGGGTGGCATCTGCTGTTGGCAAGCCTTCATTCCTCAGTGGCTCCCACACAAGTTCACCCAGGTCCTGCCAGATGTGAGGAGGTGGAAGGAGGATGTGTGAGATGGGACCTGGTGGGCACCTGAGCCAGTGCCAAGCAGGAGACAGTCTGTAGTGTCAGGTTGGTCAAGAAGAGCGTCGGGAGGCACTGAGTTGGGCTTCACGCTCTCTGCGGGCTGACAGTTCCTGCAGAGATGGAGGGGAGGGTAGGGGAGCGGGGGTCCTAGACATGGGCAGTGGGAACCCCAGTGCCTTGTAGGGCTCTCACTGGGGCTAAACATTCTGGGAGTTTGGGGAGCTTACTTTGTAGACTGATCAATAGTCTGTGACATTAATATGTTTGAGTACAGAAACCATTTTCTGCTTCAAATATCCCCCAACCTCCTGGGATTAGGGTGCAGCTGTGGGTTGATTATACCTGCTCCTTTTCAGCAAGACTGGGATGGGTTGTGGCCTGACTTGTGGACCTGTGTGACACTGCTCCAAGCTCACGGCCTGTTCCCATCTCATCTTGGTCTGTTGGCAGGAACTTGGAGCATTCCTTATTCATGTTTTCTTGTTCATTTGTCTTTTCATTCTTGGCTTCTGTCTTTTATATGCAATTAATCGTGTGTGTTTGAAAAGTCTAATTGTGCTTCTGTTTTTATTGATAGCAACTCAGAATCATTTTGGTGAATCTTCCAGACATAAGTAGAGAGGAAGGAAAATGCTCATAGGCCCTACACTGCACCGACATAGGCCCCAAGGAAATACACCAGAAATCACTGCAGACATCTTCCCGCACCCCGTCACTGCACTTGGAATCCATTTGTTTAATCCTTCAAATATCTGGGGAGCTCTTGGTGTGGGCTTCTGCCTGGTGAGAAATCCTGGGGCAGCATCTAAGAGTGTGGGCCCTGGGCTGGGGGTGTGGCTCAGAGGTAGAGTGTCTGCCTAGCGCGCACGCATTCAATCCCCCTGCGTTCAATCCCCCCAGCACCGCAGAAGACAAAACACAAACACACGGAGCCAGGCCCCGATGGCCTGCAATGTGACTCTCGCTGGGGAGGAGCTTGCAATCTGCTGGGCTAGTCCAGGTGCACACGCAGAGCCAGCAGAGGCCACCACGAGGCACCGAGCTCTGGGGCCACCGTGGCTGCAGCTTGCCCTGGTGAGGCCGAGAACACCCCCGGGGTGTAAACGACGTTGCACGAGCAGGCAGGACTGTCACGTCGTGGACACCACCCAGGCACCAGGGCTGGCCTCCTGGTGGCCTCACGGCCCTCTGCAGCCCTGTGGCGGGGTCACGGTGGCGACGCCCTTTGATGAAAGGACAGCGCCTGGAGAAGGCACGATTCCCAATTCAATGAAAAGTGCCGTTTTTTGAGGTGCTTGGGGCCGGCAGGAAGAAGTACATGAAGGTGGAGTGCCCTATTTTGAGAGCCGCCTTGCCTGCCGGGGCTGGTGGAACGTGAGCTGAGGCTCCAGCTGCAGAACCCGAGGCGGGACCTGGCCTCTCGCACAGACCACGGCTGCCTCCCTCGCCCAGGTGCCCCTCGCCCTTTGGCTAAACATTAGGGACAGATTCTGCCCATAAATGTGCCCGTTGACAGGAGTGGTTCCCTCTGTGGCTGGGCAGTGCCACTCCCGTCATGCACGGGAGGAATACATTCTGGGGCAACTGTCCCTACCAGAGCTGCAAGGGAAGCCCGTGCATGGACACCCCGCCCCTCCACGCGGGGAGATGCTCCCTGGGGGTTGTACAGGGGAACTCTGCCCATTCTCACTGATGTTCTTTTGGCAGAATGTGGACCCAGTTGGGACTGGGGACATTGACCTCCAGCCATCTCAAGGGCCATTCCCACATGGGGCCTTCCAGAACTAAATTTCATGGACTGTCAAATCAAACGGGTTCCTTCAGGTGCCAGAGATATAAGTTGCCCTCACTGTCCCTGGAGGGGACAAAGGCCTCTGAGGCGGCATGGTGGCTGGTGCAGGAAGCAGAAGCACCGCCCGGGAAGCGCACAGGGCCTAAAGGCTCCCTTCTTTTGAAGATGAGCATCAGCAGAAGTCATTTTGCTGAGATGTGCAACTGGAGAGATTCAGCACTGGCAGCATCAGCTTCAGATTCGAAGCTTAGTGAGGAGGAAGCTGCCCTGTCCCCACAGACGTGGCTGGCCTCGGTGGAGGAAGGGGAAGGAGTTCCAGGGAGACGGTGCCTTCTCAGAGCAGGGCTGAGGCAAGCCTGCAGGTGGGCAGGAAGCAGCTCTGAGCAATCTGGGGTCCATGAGAGGCAGAGTGGCCCTAGTTCTCCTCGTTGGTCAGGGTGGGGTCTGCCCTGCTTGGTGGCCCAGGAGCAGAACGGCAAGCACTTGGTCTCTGCTCACTCTGGCCAGCTCCTCTGTGTTCAGGAATCCCCAATCTCCTTGTAGGACATTTGGCTGCTAATACCCCTGTGGCTGGTGCCCTGTCCAGTTGTTTTCCAAGAATCCAGATTCAGGCCAGCGGGCTTTGAGGAGACCGAACGATGGATATGTGGCACCGTGCACTGGCAGCACCTAGCAGCTATGAACTCACCTCGTGGCACGGCCTTGCCTCTTGGGCCTGGCTCTGCCCACGCCCTGCTGTCTAGTGACGCGTCCCCCGTCTAGCTCAGGTACCCACTCCTCTCCACCTCGCGCCACCCTTTTCAGAGTCTGGGCAGAAAGCAGAAGGCAGGGCCCGGCTCATGGCTGGTCTCCACAGGCCCCTGGGTTCCTGGGGTGTCGGTCCATGCGTAAGCTGCAGCTCACAAGGTGCGTGCCTCGTCTAGGGTTTTATGTTGGCACCATCTGGAATTCCTGGACTGAATTTAGAGGTGAAAAGGTGGGGAAATCTTTCCGTTGGGTTCGTCGGTTCCAGGATGTACACTTAGTATCCCAGAGGGAGAATCTTACCAGAGGCAGGAATGGGGGACGATTCTGTCTCGGTCTGTCTCTCTCTGTGCCTGTCCCTCTCACTCACAGACAGCAGGCCAGGCCACACACACAGGGGAGGGTTCCCAGCCCCCCAAGATCACCCTCAGATTTGATGATTCACCAGAGGGCCTCGCAGAACGCACCTATCGCTGCTCCACTCAGAATGGTGGCCTCTCACTGGGGAAGGACACAGGTGAGATGAGTGGAGGAGGGGACAATGGCTGAGTCCAGGAAAGTGCCTGAGCGGAGGTCTTCTGGTCACTCTTGGGGTCACTCCACTGGCGCCCGTATGTGACCACTTCACCAGCCCAGGGAGCTCCCGAGCCCCCGTGTCCAGCGTTCTTGTTGCTGGGCTCCATCACCTGGGCGGAGCTGACTGGTGGGTGGCCCACGTGGCCATCGGTCTCCCAGCTGACTCTCCATCTGACGCGAAGCCCCTACCCCAAGGCACGCGGCTCAGCTTTTGGCTTGGCTAATCCCACCCTATTGCCATCCAGTGAGGCTGTGCCCGTCCTAAGTCACACCACGGGACTAGTCAGGTGGCTCCAGGCCCCAGGGAAACAGTGACAGGCTCACCAGGCAGGACCCCCGAGAGGCTGCCTCCCAGAGCTGCTCTCTGACACACAGGAAAAAATGAGATGAGATGTGGCCCGGTGGGCCTGCAGCTCCCCTTTCCTGGAGTTGGTTGGAACATTCTTATCTCCTTTTCCTGGATTTCTGAGGAATTTCTCTGGAACTAATACCTACTGCACGTACCTGATGACAAAGAAAAAGGTTTTGTGGAAACATTTTCCTCTAAGGAAAAAAGAGGCACCCTGCCTTCCTCTCAGTCGGAGAGAAATGTTCTTCTGAATAATTTTTTAATTTACTAAAAGTTTTCTGACTCCGTTGCTGAGGGGATGCTCACTTCCCGCGGAGGGGCTTGCAGATAAAGTGTCTTCGTGAACGTGTGGCGCCTAAGCCGGCCCTGGAAGCCCGGGGCGCCTCGCTGTGGGATCGCTGAAGACGAAAGGAGCCTTTCCCTCCTCCCTCGAATGGGGCCCTGCTCTCCAGCCGGCCCCAGCCTGACCCCGGCCACTGGTCCAAGCAAGAGGCTGGCCTTCCCCAGTCAGTGACGAAGGCATTATCTAACCCACCAGGGTGTCAGGGACCCCTCGTCGTTCATTTCTGCTGCTCGTCATTCTTAGAGAATCAGGCGTCCTTCCGCGGTCGGTGGAGGCTGGATGTTCTGCACACCCAGCCCCAAGCCTGTGGTTCTCACTGGCACACACAGGTCGGGCTCTGCACCCAAACGGAGATACTTTCCCCTTGAAGTTCTCAAGAGGGATTTTTCTAGCAATGATTTTGAAAATTCATCACTACCATGCCCAGGGATACCAGAGGCCTGCAAGAGCGGAGCTGCTGCCGAGCCAGCGGAGTCCCGGCCTGGGATCTGGGGTCACCTCCCAGACCTCCTGCCTGGATCTTTATGCTGAGGATGCTTTGCACGAGGGGCTCAGGGTGCAGGGCCACTCTGCAGAGGCTGGGCTGCGGGGTCCTGGGGTTTTCTGAGAATGGCTGGGAAAGCAGCACACAGTGACTTCAGAGTGGAGGACACCCCCCCCTTACAGACTCAGCCCCACTTTTTCTTCTTCTTTGTTTTTTAGCATTTTTCTTCACAATATCTTTATTCTATTTATTTATTTTTATGTGGTGCTGAGGATTGGACCCAGGACCTCGGATGTGCTAGGCAAGCGCTCTTCCACGGAGCCCCAGGTCCAGCCCTCAGCCCCCACTCTGACCTCATAGGACTTCACCTTTGCAGAGAGTCGGCTGTCCCCCTGCATGGGTGGCTGGCACAGGGTCTGGGGCACAGGAGTGACCACGGTTTTAGTGACCAAGTCATGGATAGTTGCCTATTGGCTTGGCCCCCACTGGATTCCCCGTGGGTGGAATAACGAGGTCCCCCTGTTTTGAGAGCACCCCCATTTGTTCATGAACTGTTGGAAACCTCTCCTGTGGACCACTTCAGGTGATTCTCCCCACAGCCTATGACAGACAAGTTCTCTTGTTGCCTTCATTTACACCTGGGGAAGCTGAGGCACAGAGAGGGGGTGAAACTCAGCCAGGATCACACAGCACGGAGGTGCTGGGGCCAGATTTGGACCTAGACATCCCCCCCCCCCTTCTCCACCCCGTGGGGCTCTGTTCCTGAGCACTAAGCTAGCACCCAGAGAAGCCATCCCTGGGCGTCTCTGGTCCTGGACACCAGGGGGCAGGATGAGACAGCAGAAGAGGTGGCTGGCCGGCCCAGGCAGCACAGTTTCTGGGCCGTTTCCTGGTCTCAGTTTGTTCTTGGATCTAGCATCTCAGGATGCCCTCTGGGAGGACAAGTGGCCGTGGTAAGCAGGCGAGGGACACAGAAAGGGGCTCCTCTCCTAAGGGCCTTTAGAATCTTCTGTGCAGCGCGGGGTCAGAGTGAGCAGAAGCATTTTCTGTGAGTCTTTGGCTTCTCAGGTTCCCAGCACCTTGGCCAGTGCCAGGCAGTGAAAGTGGCCCCTTAAGAACGCATTAGCGGAGGCAGCTGCTTACAGCGCAGGCGGGAGGGCTCACTGCACCCTGTGCACCCAGAGCTGGCCCCTGCCCTCTGGTGTGGAGCAGGGCGAATCCCCCATCCCTGTGGTTCTGGGCTGGGGTTTCCCGTGCCTGGCTGGGCTGCTGCTGCTCTTCCCTGGGGCTCAGGC